GGGTTTATTTTTGAGTGTTTAGGGGGTTTTAGGTGTCAAAACATTTTTTAGAGTTTAAAATTTTAAGATATAGGCTTTATAAATCTATAATTAGTGGCATTTTTGTAAATGGACACCTCTAAGTGGTATTCTTGCAAATATGCACACAAAAAGTGGCATTTTGTAATTGTCCCTATTTAATATACTATGATTTAACCAATGTAAATATTTTACAGAACCGTGATTTTTTTTTGGGATAAATTGTTGGTCAGTTTTGAAGTTGTTTAATGGTTCCGCTGTTATATTTATACATTTTCGTGATTTTATCAGTATTTACCAATTGTAGTTTATACTATTTTTATGGATTTTTTAGTTCGGTTATATTAAAATGATCATTAGTGCTAATGTTTTGTTGACGTAGATATGTGTTTTAAAATACAGAAAATACAAGAAGTACATATTTATATCATGAGATAAATTAAACACATACACATACACATATTTATTATATATTAGTTATGTAGAAAAGAAAATAATTATGTAAGTTTTCGTAATTTGAAATTAAAAGATATTGCATACCTTAGGAAACTTTCTACAAAACTTGCTGGTCATCTCGCCATTTTTATTTTGTGGTGCATGGAAAAGTTTTTCTTGATTGGTTAGTTGTTTGTTGCAAAAAGATGTGCAAGCTTCTTCACAGTCGGTCGGACTTGGTTTGTTTGCCTCTTTTATGCATTGATTATGGATGCAATGCTTGACACACGTTTCTAAATTGATTGAATGAGAGATTTTGTGCCGAAAACGTCATCATAAACATGGTTACAATCATGAAAACACTGCATGTTTTCTTCAAAACTTGAGTTGCCATAGCGTATGTTTTGAATGATCACAAATGCTAAATAAGTCTCGATTACAATTTTATTTTTTGTTGTTATGATTTTGACCAAGTTGATTAGTGAGTAATATTGGGTTAGGTTTTGTTATTTATATAGTAAAACTAATAATATCCATTTTTAGCAATTGTTTTTTTTTAACGTTAATTTGTTTGATTGTTTCTCTTACTTGGGATGTATACATCGAAACAAGTTTTGTAACTTAGATGTGTTTTAGCTGTCTAAACAAATTATAGCTATTAAAAAAAAAAACAATAACTAATCGTTTGTATTGCAAATTCTAACTGAGGGATACCCAATTGCCATTTTGGCAAGATCTCGTTCACATGTGATCTCAATCTCAGTTTCAACAAGAATATTATGCAACACAAATGCAAATTATGCATTTGAAAAATTGCTAGATTGAACCAAAAATCAGAGGCCTTATGCATCACTAGTAGACATCAATCAAACTCATATTTCATGAGTATATCTACAGTTGCAAGTTAGCAAATCAGTGAGATCAATCCCATAATTTTACTATTTCGATCGTACGCTATGGCAACTCAAGGTCAGTCATGAGGACGAACAATTGAGCTACAGAGGTCTCAAACAAAAACAAAAACACAGATGCATACTTCTTGATCAAGAGCAAAACATTCTGGAAAACAAGTAACTGTGGCAACCTTGAACAACATCTAGCAAAGGAGATGTCTGACACGCTTCATTAGCTTCGCGATCCATCCATTTCTCTAAAACTGTTTCAGCCACAATGGCAATGCGATGCTGCATCACTGAAGCACCCATCGGTCCCACCAAGTTCAATCTCGTTGCAGCCGAGACAACATCTCTTAGCGTTACAAACAGGTAAGCTCTCTGTGAAGTTTTAGGATCCATTCCGAGTAGGCCACATATAAGTCCGAATACAGGGGCGTGGTGGAAACATACTTTTTTGGAACCCAGAGAAGCGTCTCTAATCATTTTCAAATTTGGGATCTCAGTGAAAACTGAAGCAGCCACACGAAACAACGCTGATCCTTGTGAAATCGATGCCTTTGAAGAGACTTGGTTGGTTAAAGTAGCGTTAAGTAATTGATCGAGTTTGTGCCATGTTTCTATATCAGGAGATTTGAGAGCAGAGTAGACAAAAGGAAGCAATAAGCTAGCTGTGTTATCCAACACATGAACGATATGAGTTTCAAGATCTTCAGGGGAAGAAACTAACCGAGTCTGAATCGCTGCTTCGAGACCAAAAGAATGAGCAAATCCTCCTGTTGGTAATATGGAATCGAGTAACTGCCACTGGCTCCACTGCATACAAGAGGAGGAGGCTCTTGACACAAGAATCTCCCTTCTTTCGTCTTCTTCAATCGGTTTCTCCATCATCAGTAGACCAATTTCTTGAAACGAGAGAATGCTAAAAGAGAAGCAAAACCCAACATCAAGGAAGAAACATCAATCCCAATATCATATCAAGACAATCTCAGTGATTACTGACTCTAAGGATCTATGAACGTGATTAAGCAATGTTTATAATTTAAGAAATTGGAACACAAACTACTATGTCTAAATTCTCCAGATAAAATCGGATCCTGAGGTTCTAGTGAATACATGAGCCCATGAAAAAAAACAGAAAAAAACGAAGAGAAAACAGAGTTTGCTCAAATCTGATAATAAAATCGGCCAAAAGCAAAACGCAATCGATCGGGAAAATCATAAGATCTGAAAACCTAACAACATGCGATTCAAAAATGCAAAAACGGAGTGAAAGTCTGTATGCTAACCAAGAGGCGTCGAAGAAGAAGAGTGAAAGAGCGAGAGACTTCGGAGTCTCGACGGAGGGAGCATTCCGACGGAAGAAGACGAGACATTTGACGATAAGCAGAAATTAATAATATTATATTTTAATCCAATTTCATAAATATCAATTCGGTTCAATCCAAAGCAAGCGGGAACCGACCGGATTCGTCTAAACCGAACCAAACGGCTTCCTTTAAATGGCTTTCATTAATAAAACCAAACCTCGATTGTTTGTGAAATTTATTGGGAAAATTCCTGAAAAATACACCAACTTAATTTCATTTGCTGAAAAAATTAATACACCAACTATTTGAAATTGTCTTTCATATACGACATTAACCAGACTAACAGAAATTAACAGACGCTGCTAAATTGTTAATTAACACGTGTTTTCTACAGTAACAAACCTCGATTTTGTCCTTACATGTTTTTCCTCAAATCGATTTCTTAAGAACCCTAAAACCCTAAATTGATTTTAGATTTCAGTTTTTCTTTTTCTTC